GGGGGGGGGGGACAGGGGGGTCACTCCTGGGGAGGGTGGCACAAGTGACGCGCACCTGGGGGGGGCTCCCTGTTTCCCACCCTGCGGGGACACAGGCACAGGATGGGCCGGGTTGGAATCACAGAGTTCCGGGATGGATCAGGTTGGAATCACAGAAGGGGTCAGGTTGAAATCCTAGGGTGATGCCGGGACAGGTCAGGTTGGAATCAGAGAATGCCAGGATAGGTCAGGTTGGAATCATAGAACGCATCAGGTTGGAGTCTCAGGATGGATCAGAGTAGAATCCCAGGATGGGTCAGGTCGGAATCCCAGGATGGGTCAGGTCGGAATCCCAGGATGGGTCAGGTCGGAATCCCAGGGTGGGTCAGGTTGGAATCCCACGATGGGTAAGGTTGCAATCTCAGGATGGATCAGACTGGAATCCCAGAATCCCAGGACGGGTCAGGTTGGAATCCCAGGACGGGTCAGGTTGGAATCCCACGATGGGTCAGGTTGGAATCCCAGGATGGGTCAGGTTGGAATCCCACGATGGGTCAGGTTGGAATCCCAGGATGGGTCAGGTTGGAAAGGACCACCCTGGGTCCCTGGTGTCCCCTCCCTGCTCCAGCCAGGCCATCCCAGAGCTGGATGGGATAACATCCCATGGCACAGGGCTGTGTCCAGGCGGTTCTGGGATATCCCCAGTGAGGGATTCCACCCCCTCTCTGTGCAGCCTGTTCAGTGCTCAGTCACTGCCCAGGGAAGTTCTTCCTCCTGTGCAGGTGGAACTCCCTGGCCATCAGTTCCTGCCCATCCTCCTGTGCCGTTGCTGGGCCCCCCCAGCAGAGCCTGGTCCATCCTCTGCCCCTCCTGCAGCCCCTGACACACCCTGGGGGAAATCTTCCTCTGGAGACATTCCAAACCCACCTGCACACATTCCTGTGTCAGCTACTCTGGGTGCCCCTGGTTGCAGTGGATGATCTCCAGAGGTCTCTTCCAACCCCAACTATCCTGGGATTCTGCAGGGAGCTGAGGGGAGCAGGACTCCCCACCATTCCCGCTCTAAAGAACCCCCACCACAGCCACCAGCAGCGAGGGGCTGTCTGTGACGGTGGCACTGGGGTGGCAGGTCCCTCTGAAAGGACAAGAAAATGTGGTAACGCTTTGGGAAGGGACAGAGGAGATTTCTAGGGAACACTGTTATCCCTGGAATTACCTGGGCAGCACCAGAGACTCGGGAAACAGGAGCTGTCACTGCCTGTGCTGGGATTTGAGGGCGTGAGCTGAGGAGGTCGAATGTTGTGTGCAGAACGTTCCAACTTTTTTGGTGGCTTGTGGTGTCTTTGTGTGACTCCCAACCCCAGGGAGTCTTCTGGGAGAAGAAAAATAAGGGGAAAAACTGTTGTTAGACTGAAAGGGAGCAGGATTAGGTGAGAGATTAGGGAGAAGTTCCACCCTGTGGGGATGCGAAGGCTGGAGCCCCTCTGCTCTGGAGCCAGGCTGGGAGAGCTGGGGGATCACCTGGAGAAGAGAAGGATCCAGGGAGAGCTGGAGAGGGACTGGGGACAAGGCATGGAGGGACAGGACACAGGGAATGGCTTCCCACTGCCAGAGGGCAGGGACGGATGGGATATTGGGAAGGAATTGCTGGCTGGGAGGGTGGGCAGGCCCTGGCACAGGTTGGGCAGAGAAGCTGTGGCTGCCCCTGGATCCCTGGAAGTGTCCAAGGCCAGGCTGGACGGGGTTTGGAGCAACCTGGGCTGGTGGAAGGTGTCCCTGCCCAGGGCTCAAAGATGTCCCTTCCAACCCAAACAACTCTGGGATTCCATGGACAAAAAGAAGTGTTGTTTTCTTTCCTGCCCAGCCTGTTCCTCAGAGGAAGATGCTGCCCAGGATGATCTCGAGGTGCTCTCAGAGCTGGTGCTTCTGCTGGAATAGGAAGCTCTGGATGGGTTTTGGTAAATTAAAGAAAATAGGAAAGTGTGACTGTACCAAGTACTAGGACAGCACCAGGATTTGGGTTTTCAGGAAAAGAGCCTGGGATGGTTGTCAGGGTAGAAGCAATTCCTTGTACTTGGACATCAAGAGCAGAGGACACTTCACCTGCTGGACTCTGTGCCTCAGGGTGACCTGTGTTAATCCTGTATGGAAAAACACGTGGAAGTAGCTGTATCCCTAAATTCCATGGGTTTTTCTGTGTGAAACCATAGGGTGAAAGATGATGGGGAGGGGGATTCCTTTTCCATTGGGATGCTGGCCTTGAACTTTGGATTGTTTGGTTCATGCTCTTGAGCTCTGGAGGACAGGGAAGGGTGACCCACCTTGGGGGCTGGTTCTCAGGGTCAGTGTAAATAATGTGCCACATTTCTGTGTTCCTCCTGGTGGTTTCATGCTGCTTTTCCCTGATTTTTGCTCTCTTCCAGATGGGACACCCGGGGATGCCCCACTACCCCCCCATGGGGATGCACCCCATGGGGCAGAGACCCCCCAACATGCCTCCTGTTCCCCACGGGATGATGCCCCAGATGATGCCCCCCATGGGGGGACCCCCAATGGGGCAGGTAAGGCACAGCCACATTCCTTCCTTCCTTCCCAGAATCATTCCAGGGGATCCCACAAGTCTCCCCAGCAGCTGGGGAATGGAAGGGTCAGTAATTCGGGGGATTTGATCCCGTCCCTGCAGAAACTCTTGTCGTGGGTAGCAGGTGGGATGCACCTCTGTGTAAGTTACTGTAAATAGATAAAACCCACAATTTGGGTTTTGTTAAAGTTGGGGGTTTTTTTGTAGTTTTCTGCAGCTTTTGAAGAAGTAAAATTAAAATGAAATTGGCTTACATACTAGAAACAGAGAGTTGTGGTGCTTCTCACAGGTAGAACTTCGTGGTTCTTCCATTCTCTAATTCTTACAGATGAAAATTATAGCAAGGCAAGAAATAATCATATATTGAATTTTGGCCAAATTCCCGATTGAATCCTAATCCTTAATATAACAAGTATTATAATGGTAATAAATATAATAATCTAGTGATACTCCTTGGGATGGTGGATACAGAAGTGGAGACTAAATGTCACCAAGCAGAGCAGAGAGAGGTTGGCAGGAAAATCCTGTGGGAATCTTTCCCAACCTTTATTTTTCCTGCTTTCCCTTGGGGTTTCAGTAACTGCTCATTAACACATCACACATTATTTGATATTGTTTTTATGTAATTCAAATTGTCTTTATTGATGTTTCATACCAAACTTCAGGATCTGTGGGCATTCCTAATATGAATATTCCTGTTTTATTTTGGAGTGTGTGCCATGTTATTTATTCCCAATATGAATATTCCTGTTTTGTGTTGGAATCTGTAGACATTCCTAATAAGAATATTCCTATTTTATTTTGAAGCCTGAGGACATTCCTAATAAGAATATTCCTGGGGTTTTTTTGAGTCTGTGGACATGTTATTCCCAATATGAACATTCCTATTTTGTGGGAATGTGGTGAAAGGAATCAGAATCCTCCAAACCTACTTTTGTTGCCTAAAAGGCTTGTTTGGTTGTTGTGGTTTTAATTTATTTTTTTTTAATTAAAAACTAACATCACATAATGGCTTTAAAATAAAACTAACAGACTCTTTGTACTTTATGCTGAAATGTCACCCAGTGTATCCCAAATTGTTTAATCGCAGATGCCTGGGATGATGCAGTCGGTGATGCCTGGAATGATGATGTCCCACATGTCCCAGGCTGCCATGCAGCCCACGGTTCCTGTGAGTTTAACTTCTCTTCCCTCGTTTTTTAAAGCTTTTCCACTTCTCAAAAGGCCTCTGCTGGTGCTCAGGCTTTGTTTTCTTGGCGTGGACATAAAGAATTTGAAGTGAAAGATCTGTAAATAAAATCTTCCTAGACGTTGTTTAAAAACAATTTAAATGTTGAATAGATTTTAGTCTCTTGTAAGTGGATTTTTTTGGCAAAAGTTCCTGAAATTCAGCACATTGAGCAGCAAAGTTTGCTGAAATTCCTGGAATTCAAAGGAATAAAGAAGATATTTGGGTGGAAATGGTGAAGTCCAAGTGAAGTGTCTGAAGTGAAAAGTAAATTTCTTTCCTCTGAACGTAATTTTTAATTCAAATTATCTTCAGGAAATCCATTTAAAACCAGTTGCAGCCACTTAAATTTAGAAAGGAATTATTTTACATTTTCTTCCCATGCAGATTTTTGTATCCCTGGAGCGCAGACCTTTGCTCCCCCTTTTGTGGGTTATTTTAACACTTAAATTGGTTAATAATCCACTTGGTTTTTTTTCTCAGTAAGAGTTTGTTGAAAGAGAGATTTAATTAATCTACTGAATATTTTTGTGCGACCAGAGGTAACTGTGTCATCCAGAGGATTTAGGGAATTAAAATCCAGAAGATTAAAAGTTGGAAGTTCACGAAGACACGAAGTTCCTGCAAAACAAATAAAGTCAGGAGTGGGATGTAACATCCCCTGGATCAGCACCAAAATTACCCTGATTTTCAATTTTAATGGGTCACTTTACATATTTTGCAAAGAGGGCAAATCATTTGAATTTATAATACTGGACTAGGAGTAAATATTGATGGAATTAATCCTGGATATGTGGGATTTAGGAAGAAAAGGGCATGAGTTTGCCACTTCCTCATGGAAATAATTATGGAGGAGTAAAACAATCCTGTCAATGGCCACCTTTGCAGCCCTTGGTGAACTTTCAGTGCAGCTCCTAAAAATGACCATTTTTGCTCTTAATTCCATTAGAACGGAAGTTGGGAAGGGAATGTTGGAAGGATCCCTTGTGGAGACACAGATTGCACTGGGGTTACCTGGCACTTCTGTGCTCCTGGACATGTCTGACACACAGAAAGCACTTAAAGGGTGTTGAGAATCCCCCTGGTTTAGTCCTGTTGGATAAAATCCAGCACAATGCATCCAGTGGGATTTATTTTCAATTTTTAACCAATTTTTCGTTGTTTCTTGAGGAGTATTGAAATGAAATAAGCCTGGAGTGAAAATAAACCCTGGCTAAAGCCAAATCCACAAGCTCTGCTTTAGCCTGCAGGGAAAGATATTGGGAAAACTCCTGGAATTCTGATCCTCTTTTTCCTCAGTTTGAAAGAATTCCAAGAAGAGCATCTGGAAGAGCTCCAGACTCATCAAGGCACCACTAATACACCCCAAGGCTTCTGGCACGGAATGACCCCAGGGAGCTCCTCACCACGTCCCTGATTACTTATTTAAGGAGCAGGGATCCCTGTTTAAGGAATTAAAGGAGCATTTTGTGGCAGGAAGCACTAGTTTGGGTGGATATATACTGTATTTCTCGGTGATTTAATCCCAGTTGCACTCAGTAATGACGTGTCTGTTGGTTGTTTCTGCAGCCAGGGGTGAACAGTATGGATGCACAAGTAGGTGAGTATCAAAAACTCTTTATGACTTCAAATATTTGACCAAAATTAGTTGAAATATTAAAAAAAAGAAACACAACAGTTTGTAAATTTAATTTAGCATTTCAGTGACTGAGCTCTTCATTGCTTCCCAGGACATCATTTTCTCTCACACATGAATTAATATACAGAAAATGAAGCAGCCAAACCCTTTCTAATTTTTTATGCTTATTTTTCAGGTGTAACCCCTCCTGGAACTCAGGTATGGGAGAAGGCCAATCCCAGAAGGTTGGAATGGTTTAGAGGTTTCAGAGAACACCCTGGGTCCTCTTTTTCCTCCCAGACAAAGCTTTTTTTTTTTTTTTCTTGCTTATTTGACTGTCAGTGTGTAATTAATGCAGATGGTTCCGTTAGGGGGGGTTTCTGTTATATCTTTGATTTCTGAGCATTGGAGTCTGTTTGTTTTAGTTCTCCTAGGAACAAACCCCTTCCCTTCCCTGCCTTTTCTCCCTCCTTTCCTCCTTCCAGGTTTTTCACTGTTGCCTGAAATCTGAGGCCCTTGTCCCAGCTTAGTCATTAAATATAGATGATAACAAGTGTGATTTGGGCTGCTGAGCACTTGATAAATTCAGGTGAAAACCAGCAAATATCCAGGATTTTCAGGGCTCTTTTTGTTTCATTCCCAGACAACCCATCCCGTGGTGTCCACGGTCCAGCAAACAGCCACCACCACCAGCTCTGCCAGCGAGGATCACTCCAAGCAGGTTTGGCTGCTTCCCATTTGTGTTCCCCCTTTCTCCTGCCTTCTGACACCACCCTGCTCACCAATCCTTTGTTCATTATTCCTGGCATCTCCTGATTTTCCTAGAAATCCACGTGGACAGAGCACAAATCTCCCGATGGAAGAACTTATTACTACAACACCGAGACGAAGCAGTCGACGTGGGAGAAGCCAGATGATCTCAAAACACCTGCTGAGGTGACTTCAGATCAGATTATGGGATTACAATGACTGTCCTGGGTGGTGGGGTGGGAACACAAGGATTT